CGCGGCGGCGCGGCGCGGGAGCGCGGTGAAGTTTCTCGACACGTAACTCGTGCGCCCGGCGGGGACGCGGTGGGCAGGCTCGGGCCCGCACCTCCCCCACCGCGCTGTCCTTCGGCCTGCGCCGGGCGGCCGGGTGGCCTGGAAGCTTGAGGGCCCGCCGCCGGCCGAGATCGGGCGGCGCAGGTGACCCTCTGGGGCACGCTGCTTGGGGGAGCAGAGCACGGTGCAAAGAGCAGGCGGCCTGACCCAGCCCCGAGGAAGCCCGTCGGGGATGCAGCGCACCCCGAACTCCGAGGCGGACGGGAGCTGAGGGCTGGGTCTTTGCGGGCGAGATGAGGGTGTCGGTTCAACTGGCCTACAAAGTCCCAGTCCTCGGCCCCCAGGACCGGCGTCTCCTCCGCTTTGCTTGCCCCAGCCTGGCTTCCTCCGGGGCTCAGCCCTCGGGGCGTGCGCTCGGGCCCTTGCCCAGACTGGAGGAAAGGTTGCAAGCCGCGCGCACCGCAGACTGCGCCGATTCGAGGACCCCGCGCTTTGCAGGAGAAACGGCAGTGTGCTCGGACGTGTGAGGCGCGCTTTACCTGGGGGCTGTGCTCTCCCGGTGGAGGTGGACCTCGCTGGGGCGACCTGGGGTGAGGGGAGAGACAGACAGCCGCTGTCCCGGATGGCCGAGCCCAGCCCGCCCACCGTGGCCTGGCTTTCGTGCTTTCCAGGGTGGCAACCTTGCACTGGGGGGTGGGGAGGACCAGCCTGATTTCTAGACCTGCCTCGGAAGAGGTCGGATTGGACGTGGGCTTTAGCCCCTGTGGAGTGGGAAGCCTCCGACCCTCCCCCAAAACCAAATCGTTAAAGATGCATCTTTGCGGATGTGTCTCCCACCGGCTGATCTTTTGTTTCCTGACACGTGCAACATTGGTGTCCCATGCCAACACTCTTGAAGTTTTATGGTGAAATTCTTCCTTAAACTGGATTCCTCAAAATAAGTTTGATTCTACTCCCTGCCCCAAAGAAAAATCCCCACCAACGCCTGAAACCTGAAGTTGACTTATACTGGGACTTTTTATCCTTTTGTGTTGTGTTTTGGTCTTCTTGTCAGGGGAAGCCTTGTAAAAACATTTAAGGACATGCAGTGAGGAGGCTTGAATTGTGTGAAGGGCAAGTTGACAAAATAGGGCACCTCTGGCCCCCTTCTTCTTGGCATTGGGAAACAGGAGAGCTTTCTGGAAGCATGGAGGAGAAAAATGGAGAAACTAGCTTGGCCAGGTTTGCTCACCTCTTGGGAAATCGTGCAAAGACCCATAAAAGAGGCATTATCTGCTGGGTGTGGTGGTGCACGCCTATAATCCCAACATTTGGGAGGCTGAGGCAGGAGAATCACTGAGTATGAGGCCAGCCTGGGTTTACACAAGCGAGTTCAAGGCCAGTCAGCTTGCACTACATAGTGAGACCCAGCCTCAAAAAACAAAAACCTAAAAGAGGCATTTTCCCCCAGGCTCCGTGACCTCTGTTTGCTGCCTACAGAGAAATCCTTGTGGGAATTATGTCCATGCGACCGTTCTCTGTGTTGGGAACAGGTATAGAGGGGAGTGAGGAGAGCTTTGGGGTCACTGAGGCAGGATCGGACCTGGGAGCTCAGCTGTTGGCTGCTCTTGGCCCTGCAAGCACTGTCCTCTAGGCTCTGGTTAGTGGAATATGCAGATGCCAGAATTATGGGAGAAACAAGCTTCTTTGACTGTGGGGTAGATTTCAGAGATTCCTGACAAATTCTGAATTTTGAGACTGTCATCTGGGAGTGGACTTGGGGGGAATTCTAACTGGAGGCCTTGCCCCTAATTAAAAGTGCTGTCTTTGTGAGGGACTGAATCAGGTTGGAAAAACAAAGTTCTCCCTTTGAACTAACTCTTCTCCCAACCCCGGGAGAAAGTATCGAAAGTAAATGAAATGGAAATCTCCAGAATAGTTCGTGGTCATAAAATACGCACAGGAGTGGGCTAGAGAAGAAAAGCTTGCCAAGCGGGGTGCTTTTATACCCACCCTGGGGCACAGGCGTAGGGACCCCAGGACCGAAGATGCCAGGAGTGAGGCAGACAGGAGAGGGTAGCACCTCTGGCCTGGTTTTAGTGACCTGTAGTTCTCTGGGTCATTTTTTGTTCCATCTGTGGCTGGCTAGGGCTTTAGGGACTTTTAGAAATGGCTGTGATACTGCATCTCTTTGAGGGAAGTGAGTGATTAGGGTTTTCTTTCCTGGATTTTTTTTTTTTTTTTTAGGCTTTTTTTGAGACAGGGTCTCCCTGTGCAGTTCCATTTGGCCTTGAGCTCACTTTGTAGCTCAGGCTGGTCTCAAACTTGCATTGGTCCTCCTGCCTCAGCCTCCCAAGTGCTGGGATTAGAGGCATGCAGGGATTAGAGGCGTGCACCACCACACCCAGCTGTCATTTGTTTTTTTTTTTTTGAGACAGGGTCTCACTACATAGTCCAAGCTGACCTTGAACTCACTATGTAGCCCAGGCTGGCCTCGAATTCGCAGTGATCCTTCAATGCCTCAGCTTCCCAAGTGCTGAGATTATAGGCTTGCATCACCCCGCCCAGTTTTTCTTGGATTTTTTTTTTTTTTTTTTCTTTGCAAAATGTGATTGAATCAGTTAGGCAGTGGGGTGAGCTGGCCTCCAGAAGCTAACTCTTGCTTTGACCGAAGTGGCTTGGTTTAGGATTTGTGTTTTAGTTGAGAGCTTTGATTTTGCTGTCCCTTTTGAATTCTCAGTGTCTTGCAACAAATGTCTCCTTCCTGCCCCACCCCGCCCCTGGTCCTCCAAAGATGGGTAGGAAAGTAGCTGGACTGTCACGTTTGTTTGCCCCAGAGCCTTCTTCAGGAAGCAGCTAAATGCAAGGTGGAAAGCTGGTGGGAGGGGAAAGATTTTAGCCAGACCCCCAGGGAGACCCACACTGGACTCCAGCTTCTGCCTACTGGGAGGAAATTCACATTCCCTCAACTCTTAAGTAAATTGCAACCTGGTGAATAATTAACTTCCCTCTCTAGCTTTTCTTTTAAATAAAACTCCCACCTATTAAAGATTATAGAGATCAATTTTTGCCCAGCAGGATAGGAACGACAAAGGATATATTGAGAGAAGTGGTCTTCCCCTCTCTACCCCTAATCCTAGCAACTTTGGAAGTCCTGGTGTGTACTTAAATAAATGCCTCCTGGGTCTCAGTGTGGCCACCCCTGCTGGGCCTCAGAGCTGCTTCTTCACTGGGTCTCCTTCAGTGTCCCTGCCCAAAGCTGAACTGTCTGAACTGTCCTGGGTGGTGAGGATTTGATCCTCCACTTCGTCTAGCAACGGCTTGGCCCTTGCTCCTTTGTGGAATTGATTCCCCTGCCAGGCTGGTTTGCGGCTCTCTGTGCGGGCTGGTAAATATTTGGGCAGTCTGAGTTCTTCTGCACAAAAGCGCAGTGCTTTTATCTCTGATGTCCCTGAAAGAGAATTGTCTCTGAAGGGAAGGATCATTTTGGTTTCCAAGAAGAGTCTTTCTTTGGAAGCAGCCCAGCGAAGGCCACGAAGGTGTATTGCGGCTCCAGTGCTGACTCCACTGCCAGCTGGGTGGCCTTTACCAGTGACCTGCCTGTGTCCCAGTTTCTTCCCTTGTGAAATAAGGGTTATGAGACCTACCTCATAAGGGTGTGGCAAAGCTTTTATGAGAAAATGTATATTCCTGGACTCTTTTCTTTAGAAGCTGCGTGGGTACGGCCTGTTGCTTGGTGTGGAGTGATGGAGGTCTCAGGCTTGTGGCTCTGGCACAGTCTCAGGTTGATTCTATAGTTTGCGAGCATATGGCTTTGGGAAAGTTATTTAACCCACCGCGTGCAATAGCTGCATAATCAGAAGGCAGGGTGATGTCCCTTTTAGTTTTTATTGTCTGTCATCTCTGTGCCAGGGACGGGGGCAGGAAGAGGGTGGGGTGATACCTCTGGGTAAAGGTAGGCTGGGTTCCTCACTGACCGCTGTGGCTTTTAC